AACCCTATCAGGTAAGGAGTATTATTAGTCCTGTTTTATAAGGTGAAAGACTGACTCACAGGCAAGTTTAGTCCCTTAACCTAATCACACACTTTCAGTGGAATCATGATTTGGAGTCAGCCAACCTTCCTTTCAGGGCCAGCACTCTAATCCTGGGATCTGACGCCTGGGGACAGGCAAGAAACACAAATGATTGTACCAAGGGATGCAGGGCCTGAGGCATTTGTTGTTTAGGAGAGATACTACCACTCTGAGCAGCAGACACATTCTAGGATGAGCGCTAGAGTCTCCCACATTTGAGCCCTCATCCATAAGAAGAAGGCAGGGGCCTTGCTCAGATGTGTGCCTTCTCCTAGCGTGGGCACTTGATTCATGGAGGGGTAACTAGTGAGGTTTGGATATAAAGCAGCTCAAAAAAATCAAGGGAGAGATGAAGAAACCAGCCAGCCTGGACCCATACAGTTCTATGCCAGGTAAAAGCTACCTTACTTCATTTAACCCTCACAATCAAACTGAGTCCTGGTATAGTGATGTAGGAAAAACTTTAGACTGCTAATTGCAAGGCTTTCAGTTCAAACCCACTCCTTGGAAACCCTATACCCTATAAAACTATATGGTTGCTATGAATTGGAATGGACTCAATGCCACTTAAAAACAACAACAACTGAACTGGAGAAGCCTAATGTAATTAGTCAAAACAAGGCCAGTGACAGACTGTGGAACAGACCATTAATTGCTCATGCAAATTCAAGCTGACACTTTAGAAAATGAAAACAAGTCCACAAGAGCCAAAATATGACCCTGCGGCCATCTCACCTGAATTTAGAGACCATCTCAAGAAAAAAAATTGATGCATTGGATACTAATGACTGAAAACCGGAAGAGTTGTAGGATGACATCAAGAACATCATATGTGAAGAAAGGAAAAGGTCATTAAAAACAAACAAACAAACAAAAAACAGGAAAGAAAGAAAAGCCCAAAATGGATGTTGGAAGACACTCTAAAACTTGCTATTGACCGTAGAGAAGCTAAAGCTACTGTAAGAATTGAGGAAATAAAAGAGCTGAACAGAAAATTTCAAAGGACAACTGGACTGAAGAATTATAATGAAATGTGCAGAGGCCAAATTCAGCATTTCTCAAACTGGAAGAACTAAAGAAAAATGCAAACATTGATTTGCCATGCAGCACTGTAGAATAAACATAAGGCTGGCAGTTCAAACCTACCAGTCGCTGCTTGGAAATCCTATACAGGATTGCTATGACTCAGAACCAACTCGACGGCACTTAACAACAACAATAACAAATGGATAAAATATTGAATTATGCAGGAAGCATCAAAAGAAGACGGAAGGAATACACAAAGCCATTGTACCAAAAAGATTTGATCATGGTTGATGTTCAACCATTTCAAAGGTAGCATATCATCAAGAAATGAAGGTGTTGATAGAGGAAGTCCAAGTTGAACTAAAGGCATTGGTAAAAACAAGCTCCAGGAATTGATGGAATACAAATAGCAATCTTTCAACATCTATGTTGAAAGAAATTTGGAATACAACTACCTGGCCAATCAATTAGAAGAGATCCATATCAGTGCCCATTTCAAAAAAAGGTAACCCAATGGGATGGGTAAATCATGGAACAATATCATTAATATTACATAATTCAAAAACGGTTGCAGGAATACATTGACAAGGGAGCTCCCAAAAATTCAAGCTGGGTACAGAAGAGGACATGGAATGAGGGATATCACTGCTGACATTAGATGGATCTTGGATGAAAGCAGAGAATACCAGATAGATGTTCACTGTGCTTTATGTACTATGCAAAGATATTCATCTGTGTGAATCATAAAAATTATGGATAACTTTATGAAGAATGGGAATTCCAGACCACTTGATTGTACTCATGAGGAACCTGTATATAAACCAAAAGGCAGTTATTGGAATAGAACACGGGGGCACTAAATGATTTTAAACCATACTTTTTCAATCTATATGTTTACTATACTTACTCAATCTTTATGCTCAGCAAAAAGTCCTGGTGTAGTGCTGTAGGATAAGCACTGGATTGCTAACCCACAAGGTTGGCGGTCAAACCCACTTCTTAATTATCCAGTCTGGTCACTCCTTAACAACAACAACAACCACACACTCAGAAAATTATGAGAAGCCAGAGTATATGAAGAAAAATGTGGCATCAGATTAAAGGAAGACTCAATATGCCTGTGGTTCAAATTCACCAGCTGCTCCTTGAAAACCCTCGACAGGTTCACTATGGGTCGGAATTGACTCGGCAGTACTTAACAACAACAACAACAACAACAACAACAACAGTATACCTGCAATATACAAATGGTACAACTTTGCTTGCTAGAAGCAAAGGGGACTTGAAATACTTATTGATGAAGCTCAAAGACTATAATCTTCAATACAGATTGCACCTCAGTATAAAGAAAACAATAAACAACATCATGATAAATGGAGAAAAGATTCAAGTTGTCAAAGATTTCATTTTGCTTGGTTGCACAATCAACACTCAAGGATACAGCAGTCAAGAAATCAAATGATGTATTGTATTAGGCAAATCTGCTGCACAAGACCTTTATAAAGTATTCAAGAGCAATGATTCGGTTTGAGGACTAAGGTGTGACTGACTAAATCCAGAGAACATTCTAACCCTCTCATATGCATTTGAAAGTTGTACAAGAAATAAGGAAGACCAAAGAAGAATCGATACATTTGAATTATGGTATTGGTAAAATACTGAAAGTACCATGGACTGTCTGAATAAAAAACAAATCTGTCTTGGAAGAAGGATATCCAGAATACTCCTTAGACACGAGGATGGCAAGACGTTTTCTCGTGCAAATTGAACATGTCAGGAAGGACATTATGCTTGGTAAAGGGGAGGGTCAGAAAAAAAGAGGAAGCTCTTCAACAAGTTGGATTGACACAATGGTAGCAACAATGGACTCAAACGTAACAACAGTTGTGAGGAGGGCACAGGACCAGGCAGTGTTTCATTCTGTTGTGATAGGGTCACTATGAATCGGAACTGACGACAATGCACCTAACAACAACACTGTACAGCATAGATGGGAACCTGGAGCCCAGAGAGCCACAGTGACTTGTGTCACACACACAGCCTCTAAGTCCAAAAGCTGGGATTCACACCACATATGTCTAATGGTTCCAAACGATGTGTCAGATAGCACCAAACTTGATCACAGACATTCTGATGTTTCAGAATTGTCCGCTCTTCCTCCCATTCCTACCTCCTGGGATTATTTTTGTTGGAGAAAAAGGCAGTGGACAGCTTTGACCTCACAGACAAAAGATGCCAGATCTTACCACTGTGAAACGCAATCCCCAACCATAAGCCTCAGTTTTCCAATCTGTAAAATGAGAGTGCTGGATTTGATGAACCATCTCCAGGTTCTTTTGGGGATCATCATCCTGGGCTGTACTGTTACTAGTACTACCCCCATGCCTGGGGCTATACAAGAAAGATGACTCAGTGGCGTGCTCAGAACCCTGCCTGAGTTAAGTTACTGAACTGGCCAGCCTTGCTTCCCTCAATTCCAAAGCTTCCAAGAAGGAGGGAGTTAATGAGCAGTATGTTTGAAGCAAGGCCACATTTAAACCTATATGAACACAGTTATTAGCAGAGTGCTTTGCATGGAGACCTAATATGACCAGTGCTGGCAGATACACAGTACCTCAACTAATTTTTTTCTGTAGCTCCACAGAGGAGAGTACTGTTATGTCCTGTCCATCTTATAAATGGGAACACTGAAGTTCATAGTGCTTTAGCAATTGACTCAAGGCCACACTCATGCCCCAAGATTCTGAAATGCTTCTTTTAATCATGTGGTTGTTAAGTGCAATCGAGTCGATTCTAACCCATAGCAATCCTGTGTAGGGTTTCTCAGGAGTGGCTGGTGAGCTTGAACCGCCAGCCTTGTGGTTCAAACTGACTTTGCAGCCCAGTGCATTAAACCCACAGCGCTACACAAGGACTCCATAATAAATCTCAAATCCTGAATAAAGGAAGGATGAAAGAAGAATCAGTCAGCCTGGAGCCCCTGGGACATTGGCAGCGGGAGGTGACTCAATGGGGAATAGGGAGCTGGAGGCTCTCTGTTGCAGGTACTCCCCAGTTTAGTTTTGTAAGGTCAAATTTCCCACATGTTGCACAGCCAGTGGGAAGCAGGTGAGCTATGTGACCCAAGTTGTCTGTCTCAGACTTGGACTCAGTCTTTTGGTTTGCTTCCCTGCACCCAGGGGGAACCCTGTAGACTAAGTGCCTTTCTCCTAACGAATGACTTCCCACCCTACAAGCACCACAGGTAACCCCCACCCACATTTTTTTTAGATTGGCATTCTATAACTATGAGTGGTCACTGTAACAACAGGGTCTTCACATCACCCCCGCAGTTGTCCAGAGCCTATGAGGGCAGCTCAGTACCAAGCACAGGGTTGCGGAGGTTTGTCTCAGGATGTGCTCTTAGATTCCAGCTGTGAGGCCCCAGAGCCTCTGGACATGGCCTCTGTTCAGGTGTGGAGAAGAAAGTCTCTTATCAGTGCCCAGGACAAGAAAGGAGAGCCGCCTCCACTACTCAGAACTTCTGGGCTCTTTCTCCAATTCCCATATTCTGAACACTTCATGCCCGTGTCCCTTCACTTGGGTCCAGTGGTAGGCACTTGTACTGGTGCTGCCTTCTGCCTAGCAGAAGTGCCCTCTTACCCCTCAAGAGCCTATGATGTGGATGCTACCTTCACCCCCCAGCCTAATGGCATCTCCATCCTGGGCGGTGCAAAGTGGGTGCTGCCCTCACAGGCTTGGGTTCACCCCAAAAACAGGACCTCTGTGTCACTGGATGAAGACTGAATCAAAGACAGAATGAAGGAGTCAATAAGTGGACGGACAAGGGGAGGTGGAGGTTGTAAGGGAAAGATCCAAAAAGAATGAGGAGGAGGGAGCCATCCTCTACTTACCCAGCCGGGCCCGAAAGCTGCGGACTGTGTTGCCCTCTCCAGGCAGGGTTCCATGCCTGCTATACTTCTCATAGAGCCTGAACATGTGGACAGCGACCATGTCCTGGGCGCCTGGACCAAGCGCTGAAGCTTCA